TATTTCGGACGAATATAGGGGCAAGTTCTGAACTATTTTATGAATATTATAAATCTTATAATCTGAAAGAAAAAGATATAAATTTCTCATAGTAGCATTACTAAACAACATGGAGCTATACTTTGATAATTTTGTTCAACATTTTCACTTCAAAAATCAAATAAAACCTTCAGTGCTACTATAGTATGCGTATAACCACGGGTATCAAACACTATAGCCAGCGGGTATCTCATCTACTACTATAGTATGCGGTCTACCGTGACCTCACCTCTCGTGCCGTCCACCTGCGGTCTACCACGATGGATTCTACTATCACCTCACCTCACCTTTCGTGTGTCCCGTCCCAATAAAAAGAAAGAATCGTCCCTTAGGTTTGAAACCTTTAATATCAGCTGGATAATCTCCTTCAGATTAAAATGTTGCTGAAAGATTTTTATAGATGTGTCATCTTGACCGATGAAATACCAGTCGCATTTTTACGAGAGAACAATCTGCTAGATACGCAGCAAGAAACATATCCCTACCATAGATGCGGTGCTGGTAGACCGCATACTATAGTAAGTAAATGAGGTAGGCCGCATGCTATAATAATAAACGAGGTAGATTGCATGTTATAGTGTTTGATACCGTGGTAGACCGAATACTATAGTAGCACCCATTTTTTGTCGCAAATTGAGTGTTAAGAAATTATTTTTATTTAGGATCTAAAGGTAATTTATTATCGTATATACCTGTGGTCTTTATTTGAAGATTTTTAGAATTAATCAATTCAGCCTTAATAGTTCACGGAATGTTTTTCACGCTTCTTAGTGAAATTCTAAATTACCCCCATTCCTCGTGGGTTATGTGACGTACATTTTGAATCACTGATATATATAGAGAGATACAATAAATTACTTTTTGATCTCAGATAAGAAAAAATTTCTAAATTTAATGTGAAAACAATCGCAATAGCAAACGTTTCTGCTTGAAATAAGAAAAAATAAATTAATGTTGATTGTATACAGCAGGCTGGTGCAAGTCATGAGAACGACAACTTTTGCTTTCTCCTTATTCACTTTGATCTGCTGCTCCGCATAAGGATAACATTCGGTTTGTATTAATTGCAATTCGCTTCCGCTTTTAAAGTAAAACTTTGGCCTCTCCTAGAATACACGAATGTTGGTTAATTCGAATCCTAGAATGAAGGAGTAGTGTGTTTCTACACACCTTGCACCTTTCGTAGTGTATTGGAATAAAAGCTGTTCCACAAACGACGCGAGCTGTAATCACTCAGTTTGGCATGACAATATTAAGCACATTACCTTTAACACGTGACAGTCAGGATTCATTTGAAATGCTTGTTTCTTAACGCTTAATGATTTTAATTCTAGGAGGATCCTTGAAAATCCTACGACCCATCATTGCAGTTAAGTGAATTGATTCACCTCTATACTTATTTTGAAAATACAGAAATAAAAAAATTATTATCTTCTAAACAGTGACTTGTCTAATAAGTTTAAATGTACGCCTTTGAAAAATAATAAGTTTCAAGATCACAAATATATTTCTTTTTCGTTTAGAGTCTTAATGTTTATAATAACGTCGCTAAAGATAGATACCAAAAAGTTGTTGCAAACTAAATATTCGTATATTCCATCCTTGTCGAAAGCTTGGCTTACTTTATTGTCAATAAATGATTTATGTTTTTTTCACCCCACATGAATTATTAATGGTGCCTAGTTTAATAAGGTTTTTGTGATATTAATATGTTTGGGACAACAGAAGTTGGAGGCGGGTATGCATGGGCGCGCATTTTTTTTTTTAACGCCATGTCTTTTCAGGACGAAGACAATAATGGCCTTCTATAGATTATTTCTTTTTTAAAATTATCTCTGAATTGCTATAACTTCTTAAGAATGGTTCTGGGGTGATTTCCTGTTGTCTTCACAACGGCTTTAAATTCATGGTAATCCTTCTCCAAGGCTAGAGAATCCATTCTGTTATTTATCCCATAGCTGGGAGGTGAAGAACTGTTGGATTCATGCCTTTCCAAGTGCGAAAGCAAACGCAAGAAACTCCTCCAAAATTTGAACTCGACACTCCGATTCCACTTTCTGTGACAATAACCGTGAGTTTACTCACATATCCTTCATGGACCTATTATGAAGACATCAATATTAAAATGTTTATATGTAGTTAAATGCATATTTCAACTTATTTATTTGTATTTAAAAATAAAACTGAATCCCCACAAAGTATATGAACCTGGTGGTATCCCTGTATTAGTCATTAAGAAATGTGCTCCCGAACTGTCCCCTGTTCTCTCTAAAAGCTCAAATAAATGATTCGTTTGGTTTTGATTTCCTGCTTGTTGGAAATCCTCTTCTGTTGAACCGTTTGATCGTTTGAACTATTGTTCTATTACCCTTCTACCTCTTTTGGGTAAAGCATTAGAAACCCTAATCAACTCTGAATTGGTTAAGAATCTCACATTGCAGGGCTTTATTTCAGACAAGCAATGTGGCTTTCACTTCTCTTGGACAACTCCTTATGTACTGACGATTATTGCTGAAAGAGTCTATCAAACTTTAGATAAGAATAGGGAAGCACCAGTTGTTGCTTTGGGAATCACCTTGGTTTTCTTTACAAATTGAAAGGTTATGGTATTTCAGGACGAATTTTTTTAACTGGTTCAGTTTTTCTTATCAAATCGCAAAAAGAAAAAGTCACTCTTCTAGACCTTTTTGTACTAATTCACATGCTCCCAAGGGATCTACCCTTGGACCTATGTTGTTCTTAATTTTCACCAATAACATTCTTGATTGCATCAGTTCTCAACTCTTTATCTATGCTGATGGCAATACTATTTATTCCTGTCTCGATAGTAAGTTTAATCAGTTCGATAAGTTCTGCTGATCTCAAAAGTGACCTAAAATCTGTTATTAACTCGAGCAAGGAATAGCTTGTTAATTTTAAAGCCTCCAAAACGAAACTTTTCTCTATTAATCATATGAGAGACCCCTTTCTGCCTCCCACCAGAATGGCTGATGCTAACCTCCAAAAAATGACTCGATGCGTCTTCTCGACTCATACTATAGTATATCGACCTATAATATTGTGATAAAAGCTACAATACAATGGAGATATGAAGTGTAAAGATTATACTGAATTAATTGCCAGTTCTACTGCTGAGAAAACTGGTAGACTGTGTCGTGCTAGACGATCTTTTTTCTCTCCAGAATCTATCTTACATATCTATAAGTCTACCATTCGTCCATGCTGTAAATATTGCTGCTGCACATTGTTCAGTGCTATTGTTATATATTTAGAGATTCTTGATAAAATCAGAAGAATCAACAAATCCTGACCTGGAGTCTCGATTTCAGTTACTTTCCCACCGCCGTAATGTAGATTTCTTCTGTCCTTTCTATAAATACATTCATGATAAACCCCCTGCTATGGTACCTGAACTTTAAGAATTTAAGTGCAGTACAAGATTGACAATAAGGTCTCATCAATTCACAGTTGAATGTGTTAGATGCAACTGTAAGTTCTATGCTAACAGTTTATTTTCTCGCACTTCTCGCTTGTGGAACTCTCTTCCGGTCCCATTGCCAACTTTGATCTTCAAAAATTTAAATACAATGTCAATTGTTATATACGGTCTTCTTGATTACTCTTCTTCTATTGTTCTCCCCCCCCCCACCTCCTTAATAATCTTTCTTTTTTTTTTTTTCTTATTCTTTCACACTCAATAACCCCGTTGTGTCTTAGTGGCTTTACTGCCCGGCTTGGGTGAAGTGATTAAAAAACAAAAACAAAAGAAAAACATGCCTACCGATTAATTTAATAATCGTAGATTTTACAAGTTTTTTGAACGCACTTATTCCAGTCGGCATGTTTGTCCCTTAGCGTTCATGAGTATATTCTCGTTCCAAACATATTCACTCTTTGATAAAATCTTTTCACTGATAATCAGCAATAGCCGTATTTATATTTTCAAACTTTTTGCATCTCAGCGGAAACTACCCTGTGCGGCATGTGGCATTTTCACTCAGCTCATTTGACAAGTATAATAAAGATGTCTAATCGATCGGATTTTTATATAAGTTATTTGCAGAATTGTCACCTGTGAGTGGTGGTTTTCTGAAAATCAAAATGACAGTCATAAAAGTTTTCAAATCTTTCCATAATTTCCGTCATTCTAAAACTAAAATTTCAGATTTATACTTCCTTCTCTTCCACTTTAATACACGTAGAATATAGGACGACAGTCTCATCACGCTAAGTGACTGCTATGGTTTCTATAGTAACGTTTTTACGTGGTGTAGTTGCCAATCGGTTTTAATTCAGAGATGATTATCTTCTAGATTGATGCCAACCAAGGCTAGATATCTCACTTTGCCGTGCTATTTAATCTATAGCTGTGGGAGAAGAGCCTTTTTCTAGTGTGAAAGTGAACTCAGCTGGAATTTGAATTCTGCGCGCTGTTTCTATTTTCCGTGCCGGTAATCGTTAAGCTATGCGCAATAGAGTCAGATATTATTGGATAATCTCGTTTTTTTTATTCTGATATATATATATATATATATATATATATATATATATTAATCAAATAAAATAAATTGAAACTCTGAAGATATTGAAAATAAATTAATTTTGGCGAACAATTTTTTTCAACACACCTCATATGTTACTAAGTGTGATCTTTGTAAATAAGAAAATAATATTTATGAAACTTAGAAACTACCTTTGCAAAGTTTTCATTTAAAGGAAAAGAAACGATGGTTTGACGAAATCGCTTTTCCATTTGCTACAGTTTCATTACACACACACACACACAAAAAAAAAGAACGCCATACACTGAAAAGGACGACAGAATTACACGGACTAAGAATATCCATTTCACTAGCGATTCACAAACTCCTTGAAAAGATACAACAAAGGCAAACTCTCTATCCAAATTTAGAATCTTCTCAAGTACCCCTTCTTTAATCTTACTGCGTGTATAATTTCAGTCCGTTGTGAATTCTTTCAATGTCTTCCACAAGAAAAAGACAATTGGCGTCTATCTTGTTGTGGTAGGCGCTCACGTAAACAGGTAAGAAAAAGAAAACAGATGTTTGCTAATTTTCTCTATTAGCCAAGTTCAGCTGACAATCGGAAACGCCATAACGTGGCATCTTTAACTACGGTGTTCACCATTTGACACCATTTTTGGTTGGGTGAGTGCCATAATGATTACAGAGTTCTAAACTAAAGACTGCATATATCGTGTGACCTTAGGTCGACGGCTCACATTTCCAAATTGTTTTTTATAAAGATATATATATATATCTTTTTCTATATTCCTGTTGAGCTAAAAATGTGTACCGGTCATAGGTTTATTTCAATTTGCAGTGTGAAGGGAAATCTTTGTATTTTCTCTTTAAAAATTATTGTCTATTGTTTTAGTGTGGACACATTGATTTATGAACTGAATGTTAGGAGTCAACATAAGAAGTTTTCAATTTCCGAGAGCCATTTTGTCTAATTCACTTGAGAACAACAAACATCGTTTAATTTTTAATGTCTCTTCTTTTTCTCCCAGCCATACCCAATTATTTATTTCGGGGTAGAAACCGATTTGAAAAAGTAAGATAAAATATTATCTTGGTGTAGACTTCTTTTTGTACCACTCCATATTCATGAAGCAGTCATATTACCTGGCTTTTTCCGGGAAAGTTTCAAATTAATATTAGCTATCCTCACTACTAGACAGAACCTCTCCTTGTGGAGAGGCATTGCTCGGCGCCTGAGTCATCCCCAAAAGGAGGAAGTGTCGAAGAGGTTTGAGTAATTTTCCATGTTATTGCCGTTAAACCTACTTTAAATTGACCTTGTTACACATTCGAAGGCGCACTGAAAAATACACACATTCATTAAACAGTCTGTGAAGTTTGATCTCAAAACCCATGACTTGGAAAACTACTTTGCTAACCACTCAAAAGAAGAATTGAATGGAAAAAATGCAAGAAGACAAAAATACTTTCATTACTAATTTTTCTAGCTTTTATTATTATTGCTTTTTTTATTACAGCACTCTGGGTAGATATGTTCTTCGACCGTCAAAGCAAACAACACAAGATCAGCTACCGGTGAGCCTTTAACTAGAACCTTATCTTTCGTGAATATTGTGCTAAGCATTTCAACCATACAAGTGGGATACAAGTTTGAAGTCATCCTGCCATACTTGCCGATTCATTATAATATTTTTATTTCGCTGTCGCTGTCAATCTTTGTCTTAAAACAAAATTTCTGGAAAATAGGTTTCTCGTCCAGCAGCTATTATCGTTCTTTCCAGTATTGATGGGTGTTTCCTTCCTAACTTTTTATTGAAGTAGTGTGGAATGTCAACATCTTGATTATATCCTTATTTTCTCAAGTAACATGGGCTATACATTTTAGTTAATGCTGCTGTTGGTGTTCCTCAAGTGTTGTTCTCAGCCTTTTGTCGGATGCAAGAAGGCATGCTCTTCTTACAAATTCAATATATCCACTATCTCTCCTTATGAAACGACTGAGTTTTCCTTCCTTGACCCATTGTATTGAGCTCATGATCTTTCAATCTTAAATTATTTGTAACCGTTTTTTATGCACTTTCATTATTATTATTATTATTATTATTATTATTATTATTATTATTATTATTATTATTATCAGTTTTTCCAGTGCTTCTTAAAGTCGAAGTGCCATAGCGGGGAGTTCATCCGAACAATTACTATGAATCTATTTATAGAAAAATGCACAGCGAATCTACATTATGACGGTGGGAAAGTGACTGAAGTCGAGATGCCAGGTCAGGACCAATAATATTGCTGATTCTTCTTTCGATTTTATCAAGAATCTGTAGACTTAGAAATATGTAAGATAGATTCTGGAAAGAAAAAAATGTCTAGCATGATAGAGTGTACCAATTTTCTTAGCAGTAAACTTAGCAATTGATTCAATATAATCTGTCCACGTCATATATCCATTGTATTGTAGTTTTTATCACAATATTATAGGTCGATATACTATTTAACTGAAGAAAAGAGAAAAACTACTACTAACAGTAACAACAATTTTTAAAATTTTTAGTCATGATTCGTTTCTAAAACAACAGTAAGAAAATTTACATTCATATATTCAAAATATTTTATTATCGAGAAAAAATGTCACCTTTGAAAAAGAACAAATCCACCATCATAAAGCTATCACGTCTGAACATTTTGAAGCGGCCATAATATCATACAAGACACGCCATTTTCCAGTAGTTCGTAATATTTTGCCGTCTAACACGTTCATATTTTTATATAGATAAAAACATATATCACATATATTTAATAATATCGTGATTGTCATCGCATCTCAAATTTCTATAATATTTGTTGGTGTTTTTTAATATGATTATATTTAAAACATGTGAAACTTAGTGTGAAAGGAAAAATCAATGAAAGACAAACAAATTACTTTACACAACTTCTCCATATATAAACATAATCATTTGTACTTGTGTGTAACATTTTTCATATTATCACTACAAGTATATAAAATTCATTCTGGAGAAGACATCATTATTTTTTCACTAAAATCAGAGGTTCAAGTATTTATAATTAACAATGTCTTGTAATGCATTTGGGAAAGCCTGTGTCAAGAACAAAAGATTGGCATATCTTTGTGGGGATTTAGTTAAATATCGGTCACTATTATATTAACAGATTCTATTTTCCGAATCTATTACCAACGGGGTTGATTGTAACACGACAATACCAGGGAATGGAAATATGGTGTCAGATCCTCTGAGGAAAGATGATAAAGTCAATCGTATCTTGAATTTTCATGTTTGACTCATTATAAAAGTTATAATTGCACAAAAACCAAATTCTTTTTTGTGCAAAATATAAAAAATTTGAATTACACAAGGACACAATTCGTGATTTTTATGCAAAATATATTTTCTTAACTCTCTACGAAATCTAAATTATTGTGCCAAACACAAAAACCTGGTTAGTAGGAATAAAAATTTGTATAAGGCACAATCAAGACCATAGCGAAAAATTTTAAAGGACAAACTTATACAGAAAAAGAAACTACAAATACAAAAAGATTACATAAGACTCTTGCACAAAAATTTCGTTTTGAGCGCCTTATAAATAATTAAGATAATATTTACAAATATATTGCAAAAATAAATAATTAAGATAATATTTAAAAATATATTGCTTTTGCAATATAAAGGATTAACATTCGAAAATAGAAAAAAGGATTATAGTCTAGGAAAATACACAAGGATTCAATTTTGAAATTGACGAATGAGAAAACAATTCAAAAAGGCAGTAAAACAAAGGTACAAACACCATTTAAAAAAAAAAAAAACTTTTTTTTCTCCCACGAACGTTCCTGGGACATATGACAATTTTAGAAATGTCTCTTTTTTTATATTCACACTGTTTGTGCTTCACTGAGGCTTTTGGGAAAATTTCTTTAAATTCTTAAACCGCAAGAGAATTTTCACTTAAACTTGAAAATTCTTTTGGGCTCTCTGCAGCTGCATAGCAAATCTGTGTCTTCTTTTGTTCTCTTTTTGATGTCAAATACATTCTGGCCCTTGATGTCAATTTCTTTGTAACTGCAATTTTCTTAATGTCAAAAATCTTCTGTCCTTATCTACAGACCCGAGTTCTATTTATGCAAGAAGAGACTCAAATAGATCTTATCAAGAACCTTGAGACAAACATAAGGGGCACCAGACCATATATGGCAGCAATACTCCATGCAAGGGCGAATGGTTGATTTGTAGATTTGAAGGATCGACTCCGTCGAGAAAAATTTCCTGACGCGGTACAGGGAGCCAACTTTCCTTGCGGTGGACGAAGCTATTGACTCAATTTATTTGTTCCATCTCAGGTCAGCAGACAATGTGAGGCCGAGTAGTCACAAAGAAGAGCTCTCGATAAGTTGAGCATCAGACATTCTAATGGGGGACAGGGATGGTTCTCTGTGATGAGTAATAGAGAGCAGTTTTGTTTCTGAGGCGTTAAAGTTAATCAGCCAATTTCTGTCCCAGTTCACAACCGATTGGAGGCCCTTTTCGAGACGAACAGCCAGGTTAGTTTTGTTTTGAGACAGGAGTAAATTGTAGTGTCATCCGCGTAGATGCCTACTTGGGAATCAATGGCGTCCAGAAGATCGTTGATGAAAATAGGGAACAGAGTAGGGCCTAGGATGGAGCCTTGGGGAACACCTGCATCCGTCGGATAGGAGCTGGAGGAGAATCCGTTGAGAACGACGTTCAATACACGGTTTGACAGGAATGATTTTATTAAGTCAAACAATCGACCTGAAATTCCATAACCCTGAAGCTTGCGAAGAAGGCCGGCATGCTAAACCATATCAAACGCTTTGGAGATATCTAGAGCTACGGCACGAGCTTCTCTGTTATTATGAAGGGCTTGGTAAACAATTTTAGTGATGGCCGTGAGCACATCAGCTGTAGAACGGGCAAAGCGGAAACCATATTGCTTGTCGGAGAGCAGATCATGGGATGTAAGGTGCTTAACCACTTCAGCGTTGATTAAAGCTTCGAAGACTTTGCCGAAGAGTGGTAGGAGAGTGATAGGACGGTAATTAGAAGGGTCAGAAAGGTCATCAGAGTTCTTAAAGACAGGAACAATGGATGAGGACTTCCAACAGTCTGGAAAACAAGATTCATTGCAGTAGTTATATAATTTGGAGAGGGCAGAGCTGGGGTGGGGGAGGACGGTCAATTCCCCCTACCACCAACAATGGGCATGGGGTCCTTGCTTTCAATAAAATGAGAGACAACGGGTAGAAAGATAATACCAAACAATTTCCACGCTAGTCTTTTTTAAATAGCAAAATATTCGTCCCATTGAGAATATCGACGATAGTAGGTTCACGTTCTGTCCAAGGCGATTTTTTTCTTTTTTTTTTTTGGAAGGGAGATCTCCAACTAAACGAACTTACAGAGTTAAAGATTAGGTTAGAATAATTAGAACACAAGACAATCTATGTCCTTTTCTGTCTAGCAACATCCCCTGCGTTTAATCAAACTTAATATAATATTAATGTACATAAACATTCATGAAAGCGCCGCTCGTTTAGGGAAAATAGGAAATAAATCTCTATAGTTAGGCCTGAATTTCTGCAATCATTGGTTTCCATAGCTCAAATGGTCAAGCAGTTTTCACGTTAAAACATAAAACCTAGGAAAAAGAGGTTGACACAACTTTGTATTATTTCCGATAAGTGCTGTAGAATGACGTTCTAAGCAGTTGCAGTAAGAAGCAATTGTAATTAAGATAGAAAGATTTACTAGTAAAATGAATAATGACATAAAATTAACTTGCTAATTATTCCGGTATGAAATTCAACAGTAAGAGTGTTGCTAATAGACAAGTCGTAATATTTGAATGATAATGGTGGCTATGAGGAGATGGCGGGGAAACCACTAGTTAGAAAAATAATAAAGAACAGATTACTTCCAAACTCTGCTTCGAAATCTACGGCCAATAAGAAAGTTTATCAGTATTTTAATGCAATAGATTCATTCAAGAAATTCATAGAACTCGTAAAAAGACGCTACAGTCTAAAATCCCTACCAAGTAGAAGTCTTCATTCCTTCGTCTGTCCAAAAGCGATAATTGTGTTCGTATATCCAAGTTGCTGCTAATCATTCCATTTTATGCACAGAAGTTAAAAATAAAGTTGGATAAATTGTTGGAACAGCCTGACATTGATCAACCTTTGTCTGTCGACCTTTGACGAAAATTAATTGAGATAACATGATCACAATCAAGCAATATAATCGACATGACTAAATATATATATATATATTTCAATGTATCTGTATAAACTTTCTATGAATGGTCAAAAATTCGGCCAACAGAAGTGGTATTCAAAGACGGACACCAAATTAGATAATTCCTGCGATCCAAAGAATTTTATCAAAGTTTCCTCCTTCAGTAATGCCTTCATACCTGGAAAACGTACACCACACCTGGGACGGTAGTCTTCAAGAACAACATGAACAGGAAATTGGGTATCGTGATAAAACCAATAAGAATTTCAAGGTACTATATATTTAGGACTAAATGGTAACCTCTGAATATTATGTTCGTAACAAACCCTTTATAGCCGGGAGCAGTCAGTAACAAAATTCCAATATCATTCATTTCAAGTTCTGTTAAGCTAATAAAAACGCATCTAGATTCAACCTAAAATCTTCTGGTTATACTAGGCTGTCTAAAAATTCTTTTTTCTCACACTCTCAATTCGCCATTTTCTTGGGGGGGGGGTCGGGTGTAGTGAGGTGGGGAGAAACGCATTAATTTAGAAGATCTTGAGAAAACGGTTTCATCTCAGATTTTATCAATCATAGGAAAATACAGTATTTGACGAAATATATACATATAGATATTTTTTCACGCAAAATTAAAAACAATCGTTCAGCATTTTATAGACCAGTGTTTCTCAACTTGTGCGCCCAGGCGCACTAATGCACGCTGAAATATAGTGTGGGGGTCAGTCCACTGGGATACAT